TCGGCCTCCATGCTCTCATTGCCCGTGTGGGCTCAGGTTCAGCCACCGGGACTGGCGATGCTGGTCCTTCAGTCCTTCAGATTCAGCTGGTTCCACACATTCAGCTGGTACTTGAACAATGCGTCCACCATCCAAGACAATGATCGCTGTTGCGCCACTCAATCCCGGTTCTCCTGGCTCTACGTCCATGTTCACAACCATACAGTCCCAGGAAGTTGATCTTCACGCTCATTGAACCGTATCCATCTTTCACCATCTCTTTCTCAATCTCAAGCCATCATGCCATCGGTTCACCTTCTCGAGGTAGCGCAAGCTCCGCCATTCCAACACTTGCACTGATGGATCTTCAACACGCCCTCCAGCGTTTATCAATCCTCGATGTACTCTCTCCACGTAGTCGGCCGTCATCGAGTTTTCTCGATCTTGCTGTTCAACAGCCTCTCGATTGTCGCGCGCATCAATTTCGATCCTGTTCTGTAGGAAGACAATTCAGTCTTCTTTTCCAGGGCCTGCACCTTGTTCCAAAGGATCACAATGGCAAAGACAAGAAAGCCAAACACCATCAGGAGGATCATCCAATGGAAGGGGATCATGTAGTTCACCTCCACATATAGCTCCCCTCAGGCTTCGAACCCGCGGCCAGCTCAAGACCGCTCAAAAGCATGATGCGGTTGAGGTATTTCGCCACTTTCATGATCTTGCCCTTCTCAATGTTCCAAGGTCGGCCAAATTGAGAACCGTGCTGATCTGCTTCACTTCCATAGTGCCACGTGCCACTTTGTCTTGACACCAAAGCAGCTTCCTGCTCACATGGCGGAGGCGTCCAGCACCACGCTTGTTGGCGATTTGTTTGGTGGCAGAGTTTTCCGCTTGACGCAAATGCCATCACACGGTCGAGACACAAGTGCGCGCAGCTCGCTCTCTGCCGAGGAAAGGCTTACCACCTTCTGCCCACGTGAAGTGCTGGAAATGATGATCCCGTTCAAGCCATGAATGGACGAAGATGTACTCTGTCGCCGCTCCAGTCTGCGTCTGTGAGGCTTTCTAACAGCCACACCTCACGCGTGTGTCCGCGAAGACCTTCTCCTTGAACAGGTAGAGGAAGAAGGATGCGTTGGTCCTCAGTCTCTTTGAGGTAGCCCACAAACTTGCGAATCCTCTGCATGGCCAGTTTTGTCGGAATAGCCATTTTGCTTGCCAGCTCTTTGACCACAAAGCTGATGTCGAAGCGCTCCTGAGCGAAGTAGATGCCCATCCCCACGATCGACCGATATATTGAGGCATCTTCTTGGGGCACCAGGCGCGCCACATTGGACCCATCAGCATCCTAGATATCTGTGGTAGCTGGCAACCTCTGCTTCCTCACTATGCCATACTTCTCCTCGAAGGTCTTGATCATCTTTGTGGCATATTGCCCAGGCACATGTAGGCCCATAGGTGTACTTGCGTTTCAGGAAAGAGAACTCGTCGTTGTAGTTCTTGACCATGGCAACCTCCACGTCAAACCTCTTCAGCTTCCCAATGATGAAGCCTTCCACTGGCTTCTCATGCCCGGTGAACATCACATCATCGACGTGGATCAAAACACACACCAGCTCACTCCCTGCGCCTTGCAAAGGTGAATGCAAGCTCAGACTCCAAGTAGTCCCTCAGAAAGTCATACCAGGCTTTTGCTCCAATTTGCTGTCCAGGAATGCGTCGAGAAGCTTGTAGTGGCCATCTGGAGAGGACGTTCTTGAAGAACCTGCAAAAAGGCATCTTTGATGTCCAATGCTCCCAGAACTGGTAGTCCATGATCTCGTTCGATGCCTTGGCTGACCACCACATTGTTCAGGAAAAGCACAAGGAGCACCCTCAAAGAACGCAGTCCTGAGGCCGGGCTATAGACTTCATGTCATTGGCGTACTCTCACCGCACCAATCTAGCCCTTCTCTGGGCGAAGTGGCCTCGAAGACTGGGCTACAGCTCAACACAAACCATGCTTTGTGGAGTTGGGCAGCTCGACATTCACGCTGGTCGCTCAACAAGTTCCAGGCCACGCAGGGCGTCACCAGTCATGAGCCGGCGCGTGGAAAGCCCTACGGCTCCCTGATCCCATTTGGATGCCCCGTGTACGCCTTTGTCAAGCCTCAACCTGGAAAAGGAAATCCAAGCTGGCGAATGACGTTGTTTCTGGGCAAAACCGAAGGCCAGGACTCATGGATTGTTGGTGACGGCAGCCAAGTTCTTTTGACACGCTCAGTGAGGCGAGTTGACCGCCCATGGAAGAACTTTGGAGCCTATTACCAGAACTTTGCCACCTTCAGCTTCGGTACCAGATTAACTTCGGTGGAAGGATTGCCCCGAGCAAAAGAGCTATGCCATGTCCAAGGAAGGGCTTGAGGAGAGCCAAAGAGAAATCGAAGAAGCTCGTGAAGCAGATGGAGGAGCGTTGGTTGCTGATCAAGAGGTATCTACACCACTTGCCCCGCAGCAGGAAGAGCCAAGTGGAGGATTGCGAGGAACCCCAGCTCTTGGAGATCAATCTGGGGAAAGGGGGACAGTGAGGAGTCATTCATATGGTGATTGAACCTTTGCCTTGCTGTCAAAGTTGAACCAGAAGCTAAACGAGCAAGGATTGAAGTGCCCGAAGGAGGAGGAGCAAGCTCATCAGGACATCAACAGATGGTGGAAAGAAGAGTAGAAAAGGTCTGCATTGGGGATGAGACCATGTACCACCTCGATGAGGTGTTGGACGTGGAGACATTGGCCATGAAGAGGGCGCAGAAGATCTTGAAGACCTACAACCAGGAGACATCCCTGAAGAGCTACGGAGCGATGCACCCCTGCACAAAACACCACCTGATCCAGGCTTAGAGATTGACCTGCCCGCCAACAAGGTCGAAGAGAAGAGATTGATGAGGATGGACGCGCTGGCAGCCGCTGGAACCTTTGAAGTTGGAGGATTTTCATCTGGACAGGTTGACTACAAGGTTCTTCCATGACTGGCGAATGAAACCCTATCAGATGGAAAGACCCGGAAGCGGTGGTTTCAATGTGCTTGCTAAGCCCCGAACTCTCTGGATTGCATTATCAGCCAGCAAGTTTCCTGCTGAGTCCTTCACCTTGGTACTGTATAGGGCCGCGAAGGCCCATTGCCTGCCTGCAATTGAGCAAGATTCGTAGAAGGGATCTGATTGTCGGCTCGTTGCCGCCATACAGTCCAATCTCCACATGGCCCAAAGTCTGGACAAAGTTCATGATCTCACCGGCCATCAAATTCAGCTGACCTTTTTGACACCATGATGAGCCAGAGTGCAGATCCTCAGCTCTCTATCTGTTCCTCATCATCAGGATCTCTGCCTCGATCACGGGCCGCTTTGGTACAAGCGAAGCCCAGAGAAATGATGGGGATTCCGCCTGTGCGGGATGCACCTGTCCGGACATGTCTATCTGGTCGACCACGATGCTTCAGGCACACCTCGCACCAAGGCTGATAGGGCACGTGTGTCAACGAGTGAAGGTCTTGAACATGCTGGGGTGGCACTGGAATGATGTTTTGCATTCGAAGTTGTCGAGCCATCTGGAGCTCTGCTGCGGCCACTGCCTCCGACGCTGCCTTCAATTCTCTCTCGTTGAGGTGGCTCACAATCCTCTGATAGCACTGACGCCAATTGAAGGACATGCCGTTCTCAGCTCTCTCAACCTGCTGGTAGCAGTCAATTGGACGCCATTCACAATCACATGATCAGGTAGTCCAGCTTGTAGCACCAGACGTCCCTCCTGTTCATCACCTTCTCCATGTCCAGCGCCTCATCGCCGGCCATGGCCACTGCAACTTCCACCTCCTCGTCAACAGGCTGAGGCTCTTCTGCAGGGACCCCATGCTCCCGCAAGGCAATGGCATCCTTCTCCGCCTGAGACTTCAGGTCCAGTCCGGTTTCCACTTCAAAGCCTATGTCCTCCGCGCTCATCTCCTCCGCAGTGAGGATCAACGTGTTGTCCTCGACGTTCTCGATTCTCTTCTTGATCAGCCAGCCCATGAAGGTTCTCACACATTTCATAGAGCTGCCAATTGCCGTCCACTCGCGTCCTCCTCCAGCCGTCTGCAGTTTCCTCGCCAAGTGAACTCCAAACCACTTGTTCTCGTCCTGCTTCCACCACACTTGATACCGGGCCTTCTGACTCAGGCCCTCAAGCAACTTCGCCTCCAGCACCCGCACCATCATGGGCTCCTGAGGCTCTTCTCGCAAGTGCCCAGTAGCCAGTAGCAATGAGACTCCGGTTTTGCAGCTGAAGTGGGATTCTCACAACACTAGAGCCCCGACCAAATGTCATAGCAGGTTGGCTCCCGTTCATTGATGTTCCAGCCTGCTTCCATCATCTTGCCATGCGAAATGATAGGCTGGTTGACGCCATCAGAGAAATTAACTTTTTCATAGATCTGCGCCTCCTTGTTGTCCTCAGTCGTGAAGCTGAAGCAAACCTGCTTGTACCCTTTGATGGCGATGGGCGCTCCCTGAGCATCTTGTGGTCCAGGCGCTCCTTCATCCAGCTCAGTTCCAACACCCAAGTAGGAACTCGGCAGGATCGTCGCATCAGCTCCCGAGCTGATAGACACGCTCACGGGATTCCCTTCTCTCATGCCATTGCCCTCCTTCTTCACGGCCATGATGTTGTAGGCCACCTGGGTGTCATTCACATTGGGCTCATTCTCTGCCACAATGGAGAAGAACTGAACCACCCTGATCTGCTTGCGGTCGATGTCTGCCATTGTCATAGGCCTGAGGTCGAATATCATGGGCTCATTCTCGAATTCGGATGTTGGTGAAACTTCTTCGACCCGCTTCACGTGCCAGACTTCCAAATCGTGCTCTGGCTGCTTGTCGTGGTACTTGATGCTACTGTACCCGTCTCCGCATTGGGCTTGGCATTGGTGTTCTCCTCACTGACCTGTCGAAGACGCTGCCAGCACTCCTTAGATTAGAGATATGGCCTGCTTTTCCACAGATAAAGCAAACCTTCTGCTCTGTCTTCCCGGCTTGACCCTTCTGGACATCACCTTTGCCACTGGCCTTTCGTTGACCTTTTCCTCCAAGATCAGGGGACTTGCCATAGCCCTTGCCCTAAAATTTAATTTGCTTTGCCCTTTCCATCAGACTTTCCTTTGCCCTTGCGCTCATAGTCCTTGCCCTTGCCCTTAGGATAGTCGCCACCTTTCCCTATCTCCATGGGAATGACACCATCACCTCCAGATTCCGCAAGCATCGTGACATTGGTCCACCTCATAGTGGCGTTGTCATACTGGATGATGGCCTCCCTGAGCTTCTGGTAATCCTGGGATTCAGTGACGTTGAGCTGCAGCCATGTCTTCAATTCGCCTCCAATGCACCTCATGAGGACTGCGAAGCGGATATTGTCCTCGAGCTTCGAGCCTGTTTTCGCGTATTCAGCAAACGCTTCTTCGAGGCGTAGGACTTGGCCTAGAATGCTGCCTTTCTTCATCTCGAAGGGCTTCCATTCCAAGATCATGGTCAGGAGACCCAATGCACGGTTCTTGGATGAGGGCTCTAAGCTCTGGACCAGCAGGCGGTATGCCCCCATGCCATTGGACTCCTTGACCTGGCGGACTAAAGCAAGGGGGCGCTGCTTCACCAGGGACGCTAAGAGGGAGTATAAAAACTTGCTCCTCTGTTTCTCCTCGTCGGACTGGATGCTGGGGTCGATACCGCTGTCAGGTCGAGCTCGAATGAATGTCCTTGAAATCCTCAGGACATGCCGTTCAAGGACGAAAGATAGTGCTCCAGGGTCCAACTGAAGTCTCGCTATTGTGTAGTGAGGGCTTCTGCTGCAGTCCGAGCAGCAAGGGAGGCTGCTTCTGCAGCTTGGATCATCCGCATGGCGATTTTTTGTCCATCAGCCAGGCCAGCAGCAGATGTAAGCTGCCGCTCCTTCCAACCCAGCCATGGCCACCTGTGGCAAAGACAAGGACCTTCTCGGGGTCGAGGATGAAGTTCCAAGGGTGTAGTGGGCCTATGGCGTCACCTACACCCTGGAGCCTCCACCTGACCACTCCGGGTCAGGCTTCTCAGGCTCCGCTACCATGCGAAGCTTCTTTTCCTTTGAGCAAAGCGGTCTCGGTATTCACTTCTCGATTTGTGCGTGTCATCTTAGATGATCACTCTACACCTCTAGTCCATGGGGATGAGTGCTTCTATGCATGATTGGCAATTACCTACATTACCTACATTACATAGATTGCATACATTACATACATTAATTACAATACAATACAATACAATACCATACCATACCATACCATACATTAATTACATACATACATTACATACATAGCATAACATAACTTTATAACTTATAACATTACATTACATGACATTGCATTGCATTACTGTACATTATTGTACATTACATTAATACATACATTCATAGTGCGATTGCGATAAGACTACACAACTGATTCTTACAAATTTGGCCCTGGCTTAGTCTCAAGATGCTCTTATCCCGTCTAGTCAGTCTCCAGGACTGGCAGGAGCATGCATTCACCGGTTTGATGATTGATATGAAAGTGAATGCACAGAACCTGCCAGTACGGGAAAGAAACCATCCAAACACTGATGTCAATGTGAGCGATCATCCAGTGCTAAGCAGTCTGGAGCAGTGTGAATCAAAAGCTTCCACGGCCGTCCAACCAGTCCTCTACTTCTCGAAGACTTACCTTGGAGGTCTTGAGGTCCTGGCGCAACATGGAATAAAGGAGCTGTTTCTTAGACTCATTGAGACTCGCTTGATCTATGCTTTATCTATATATGTTTTTCAGTGCACATGGTATGAATGATATCCGACATATCAAGACATCCAGCTGCATCGCTACGGACTACTTCAGCCAGAAAATCCCCACCTCTGCGATTCGCCAATTGATGTCTTGCAGCTTTGCAATCTGGCAAAACTGCACAATCAAGGTACAGCTTCATCACTAGAGCTGGCCTAATTATTTGGTTTTCTGGCAAGCACTGGATGTGCTCATTGCTGAGGGCCTCCACTTGCGACTCTTCAAACTTGACTTTCCATCTTTCGATCTCACCTTAGCACCACAAGGGATAACCTCAAGTAGGTTCCATCCAAAAGCTACTTGCTATATACAGTAAAAAAACATCCTGGCTTCATGCGCAGCACTGTGTCCATTAGATCCATGGATAGACTCAGCTACGAGTAGACTGCAGGCCACTGTGACTGTCTTTCAAAGTGCCCAATAGAAATACATCAAATGAGGGTGTATTGAAATAATGGAGACCCCCACACACAAACGCCCTGGCAAAAGGAAACTGCCCAGAACCCAGTGGTTGGCGTGTCTCTATAACTTTGTTATGCACCCACTAAATCATTGTAAGAATATTCAATGATCTTCGACCTTCCAATTCTTTGCTCTCCTCCCGCAACTTGACTTCTCGATCCTGATGGAAAGAAGTGGACGATGCAACGTGCAGACTCACTCTTCGAAATTAAGACACATATGATAAAAACGAAAATATAAATGCCTGGACTGTTGTTACAAAAGCACTTGGACGAAGCACCACCTTCGTCGAGATCGAAACTGTCACAAAGAACTCGCTGTTTGACTCGAGTTGCATTGCCTCTTGACAGCTCCTACTCATTCCCTCTAGCTTCTTGGCCCCGGGCCCCAGTCCACAAAAATGATCAAAAATGTGCGTGTGAGGCCGGGGCGGGGTCAACTCTAGCAAAACCTTCATTGGTCAACCTCGCTTTTTGCAGCCCAAATAGATCGCGACCGCACGTCGTATCCTGAAAAACCTTGATGTCGTCGCAAACCGTTTTCACTGACTCTTTCGAGAAAACAGCCTGGAGCGACTAAGAGAAAGCATGCGCGACATAAGTCATATAATTCCGCTGTCATCTTGGATCCGAATCAATTTAGAATATTTAGAGAGAGAGAGAGAGAAAAAAAAACAAACAATTATATAAGATTCCAACTTTAGGCAGCCCATCCAATTTTACATTCAGCAAAAACTGTGGCAAACTGTGGCTAGCAGCAGGCCTCCTTTTCAACTTTTCTCAGTGCCGCCTCCTTCTGCTGTAGTAGCTCCACCTTGTTGTGCAGGATTGTCTCAAGCACCGGAGTGTGTGAAGCTTATGGCTCAGACCACTTCCAATGACAGCACACCAACCGGGATTGGTCTCCCTCAAGTGCGAGTCTGAGGAGCCCGACCACTGTCTTCGCGTCTTTGCGTTCCTCCGTCACCGCAAACATGGCATCTTCCAGCCTCGCGAAAGCGCGATCTGCATCCATAGAAGCCCAAATCTATGGATGTGTTGTTGCGTTCTATCGAATTCTATATTGACGTCAATGGTTGGTCATACCCCGAGATTCTGTAGCGTTTACTCCCACCATGATCTATTGGGACAAATATGATATAAAAGGAATTGTATCTACAAATATCTACAGTATATATGAGGAAAAGGGCCTGTCCCTCTGAGTCTGAGCCGTGGGCTTCACATTCAGCTCTTCAATCTCCTTTTCAAGTTTGGCCTCAACCGCACTGCCAAGTAATTTGTGGACATATCCTAGAGAAGAAATGGCAAAGCCATGCAAAAAGAAAACCCCTCTACCAGGTCACCAAGCACCTTTTCGATGTTTCCAGGGATTGTTGCGTGTATTGAAAGGTTGAGCTGAGCTGCTACGAGCGATGTTTTGTCCTCGAGCTTCTCCTTCACGACCACTATTTCCTGCAGATTGATCATTCGTTCCATGTATCGTTACAACACCGTTCAAGGTCCTCCTAATGATCTGATTTTGGAGAGGAATTCAGGCGGATCAACGAAAAAAACCTTCCATGAAACGCAATATGCGAGCAGCCCCATATATTTTGTTTTCCTGAGATTGCATTGGCCGGCACTGCACGACCGGCGATGTCATTTGTTATTGTTGAAGGCTGATGATCAACACTCTCCCACCATCCCATACCTTCCAATCCATGCTTAGGTTCTCATTCTGCTCTGGAGAATCTGGAGAACAAAGGTGAGAGTGAGGTTGCGTGCTCAATTACCCCTCGTTGCACCCTCACAACAAACTCTCCACTTTTGGGTCTTGAGGCCGTACTCGTCACTCACGGCCCTTTGGTTGTTGCCATGTAGCTTGGACATGGAAAACACGCGTGAATTTATGGGAAAGAAAGATGTGTTTTTTGGGGACGCGATATTGCCTTGGTGTAAATGGATACAAACATATATATATATATGAGAGGCCTGTTGTGGGCGACAGAAAATTGAGACAATTAGGACACAAATCATATTGGAGCAACATTTGACCAAATCCACAGCTTACCACTGGTTTTGCTGCATGGGTGGCATGAGAGGATGTGTGCCTGTATGTCATGGTTGCGTTTGTCTGCTGCACTCTAGAAGCACACATGAATCTGGATTAATCATACTTAATGTAAGAACAAAAGTTTTCACAACAAGACTTCTCAGGAAATATTATTCAATCTGAATTTGTGTGAAAAAACAACAAAAAATACTAAAAAAACGATGTGTCCACAACTAGTCTGATCTCTGGACTAGTTGCCAAATTTTTGGGTTTTTGTTTTTGTTTTTTGTTTTCTCGAGGCTTTGGTCTGATCGTGATTCACTTGGATCAATCCTGAGTAATTGCATGCTAACCATAATCAGAAATAGGAAAAAATGATCATGTTTAACAATAGTAAAAATAGGACAACTAATGCAAATTTTCCACTAAATTAGAAGAAAGGAAGCCAATAGGTCCCTTCACCAATTTTCCTTTTGAACATGATCAATTCATGTTTTGTTTAAACATGCATTTCCTTGTGTTTTGCTTTAAAACATGATTGTGTCCGTCTATTTACCTTAAAAGTTGATTTGTTTACCTTATTTACCTTAAAAACTGATTATTTCCTAAAATATACTGCATTTTTAGTTTTAAAAAATAGTTGATGCCTTGATTGCCCTTTTAAAGCACTGCTATTTTCATTTTAAAATGATCATGTCCTTAATTTCATGTCAAAAATGATCATTTCCTTGTATTTTCCTTTGAGGCATTACTATTTCCTTTTATGTTCCTTCAAAAAATAGGTTGTCCCTTTTCAAAGTGATGATTTCCGTTATTTTTCCATTTAACAATGATTATTTTTGGTTTGTTTCCCTTTAAGCATGACTATGTCCTTTTATTATGTCGGTTGATGTCTTTTCAACAATTAATAGTTCTTTGTTTTCTATTTTTAATATTACTATTTCCTTTTATGTGCTGTCTTTTAAAAATTGCTAAATTCTGTTCATTTCACGCTAAAAAAATATTCTTCTTTGTTTAAAAACTCTAAAAAACGTGATCATGTTTAAAGGGAAAGTGAAAGGAACTGCTAAATCCTTCCATTTTTCTTTTTAATACTGATGAATCCTTTTCCTTGTCTCAAGTCGCTATTCTATTTAATTTCCTTGAACCATGGTTAACACCGTTCATTTTCCTCTTAAACATGATTAGTTCCTTTATTTCCCGTTTAAAAATGATTCATGCCCTTTAAAAAAGAAGGGAAGTGATCATGTTTCAACGGAATATACTTTTAAACATGGTTAATTCCTGTCATATTCCCTTTAAAGTATGATTCTGTTTGGTTTTTTTAACATGAAAACATGATCATTGTTAAATGGAAAGTGAAGGTAATGGCTCAGCTTAAAAGGGAAAAGGAATTGGGATCGCCATGTTAAAAAAGAAAACGAAAGGAAATAAGTGCTTTCGAAGGATGAGTGAAAGGAATTTATCATTCTTAGAAGGGTAACAAACGTAAATAGCTCCGTTTTAAAGGACAACAAATGAATTAATCAATTTTAAAGTGAACATCCTTTAAGCAAAAATGATCCATGCTTTGTATTTTCCCTTGAAAGGTGATTATTCAGAATTCACTTGTATTTTCCTTTCAAAAAGGTTATTATTATAATCAATTCCTTTTGAATTCTTTTAAAGATATTAACTCATTACTCATTTCAGTTTCATTTTATAAATGATCAATTCCCCTTATTTCCTTTTAAAGAGGATCAGAGATGCTTTAAATCAGACTCTGGATAAAAATTGACTCTGGGATCTTTCTGTTCAACAACCAGCACCCCAGCACAGCCCCTGAGCAAAGGCTGTAAGCGGCAGCCTGTCAGCGCACAAAGCAATGTAAAAATCAATGCACCGGTACGCCGATTGTGTGAAAGCATGTTCAACTGTCACTGAACAAGAACAAGCAGACAAGCACGAAACTGAACCAAAGCGCAACCACACACACACTTTTCTCACATAGTCGGGCGGGTTCTTCACTTGAAGACTATCAGAAACCTTCGGTCATCCCGGAGATCTCTACACAGCAGCATCAGCTTTACAGAAGAATACCATGAGAGTCTCGGGGTATCACACCAAGGCTCGTCATAAAGTCCAACACGGGCCCACTCAGCAAAAGCAGCATCCGTTGAAAAGGCTTCAATCCTTGGCTTCGCAGGCTAAGAGTTCAAAATCACCCATATATGCACAATGCAAACTTCTCACGTCAAGTCTAGAGTCGGCTCAAAGCAAAGATCTTGAGGCTTCAAAGCCTCCACAAAGCGACTGATGTCCTCCACTGACATGAGGTCACTCTTCCACATAATAGTGAATGGATACCGAACACGTTCACCCATGTTGCACAGCGACGGACCACAAAGCCTTGATCCAAAACTGACCTGCGTTCACTAAAACAGCTTGAGTCCGGCGGACAAGATGCAAATCAAATCTGAACCAGTTTGAGTCCTGTGCTTTGCACACATTCTGGCAAACAAGATGGCAGCCTTTTGAAGCTCAGGGCATCAAACAATGAGCGCGGAGATGTGCACCGCGAGCAGTGGCTGACCATTTAAGTCCGGCGACGTCGATGTCGTGTTTGTCGATCTCGAAATGGCACTTGGTTGGATTCAGGCTTCAGGGCCTTCGTGATCCAAATACATCAACAATCTTTTTCTTCCGGCCGGCTCTGAAAGGCTCTATTGATCTGACTCCATAGGATGTAGCCACCTCTCATATCCTTTCTCTACCACCCAATCCCAGGAGTTACGCATGGGCTCCTGCCACCTCTACAACACTCCTCTGGGCAGCCATCAACGCTAATCAAGGAGTCGACCAGCTGAGCTTGGATGTCAGCCCCAGGAGCAGCTGAGATGAGAACATCATCTGGAATTCCCAAAGTAAGGCTGCACCACATCACGACCAGGTGAGTTCGAGCCAAATCAGAGCAGCTCTTTGAAGTCAATGCCTGTGTAGCCCCATCGATTCGTAGCCACGGACTCCAATCACTCAAGTCCTAATTCATGAATTTCGTAGGAGCCCTGTGCTTGGAGAGTGCGGCCCAAACGCTTGACAAAATTCATGTGATCCGCGCTCTCCTTCTCGCCAAAGGCGCGCTCGATGTTTGGTGGGTGTAGAGCGGCAATTGTGTCCAAGTTTGCGCTTGGAACCAGGAGCACATACCGGCTCCAGTCTTCATCTGCGACATACTGCTTCCATCTTGCATGGGTGCCTTCTGAATTTCTCATCAACTCCATGCAATGAATGTTCCTCATTCCTCAAGCGACTGAAACGAATGCCAATGGTGCGGCGGATTTGCTCGAAGTCCGATGTTACGCCACGTGGTTCCAAGGTCCGATCTCAAACCCAGCTTAGTCATCATTCTTATGTCCGACGGAAATGCATCTCTGCCAGTAGCCACTATCAGTCAAGAAACGGAATGAGTTGCATACAGTCTGCTCCGGCTGCGTGAATGTCAGGCGCGAGCGTCCTCGCAATGATACCACCAGCATTGAGAAAAATCCTGAGCGCAAGCTCAAACGTCACCACACCAGATCATCAGCGAACCAGCAAAGAATCACACACTCAATCAATAATTGCGCAAAATGTCGGTCGATTGGTCTGTGGGAATGACCCACTAGTGGAAAGGCAAACTGCATTTTGAAGAGCCGGGCGCCCTTGATCTGACAAGAACCAAATCGCAAAGGCCATCATGGCGCTGTTCTTGGTCTCCTTGGGTGTCTTATCTGATACCACGCCTGAGCAAAAATCAGACGGAATGCATTAATACTGTCATGGGCAAATGGTTGGGGCTGGAAAAGGCGCAAGCGAGAAGCGAAAGGACAGAAGGAGATGTCCGGCGTCGAGGACTGCTTCATGAAAAGCTCGGAAAACGACACTCGTTTGCACGTTGGCGCCGCGCTTGCAATTTTCTAAGACTGTCCAAACTCTCCATGGCTTATGGTTACCTCAGTTCAACTTCAATTTATCAGCGACTCAAAGAATTTATGCGACACTCTGCTGCCCAAGACAAAAAGGCGCTGCCAAGAGGCGAGGTCCTTGCCACCACATCCCGATCACGCCCACCACAAACCGTGCGCCGGACTTGAACACATGAGTACCACACCTCAGTCTCCTACCTCCAGCCAAGGTGCATCCCAGCACTTGTTGGAAGCTTGTACTTGTTCTGGTCCGTTTTGTCAATCGACAAGACCCTTGGACATGCCACGGTAGCAAAATGCACCGCAACAGAATCCAACACCATTTGATCTCCTGGCAGATTCCTGTATCTTGTGGGCCCCGATTCGTTGCGCGCTGCCTGGAATGCGAAACGCTGTCCCAATCGCCGGCGAACGGTTTCAATGGTGTATCTCTTTGGTCACGGGGAGTCCCATCCAAAAGCTGGGTCATGAAGGCG